TGCGTCTGGGCACACAAAGGAGCATTTCTCACTGACTGGTCAACACCGCCGTAGCAGGGAGACAATGAAGGAGAAATGCAAAATAAAAACTGTGCGTGGCACTGGCCTTAGGTTATCCTGCTGTTTGCTGGTCTGTTCTTGTCACAGATGAGCCTCTAGACGCAGCCCCCATCCTTACTGAAGTCATTTCTGCCAGGTGTACGCAGACGAGCTAAACGTGATCCTTGCCCCGGACAGACACCGGAGCCCAGTGTTCTGGGTGCCCCTCTCAAACTCTGAAGGAGGGACTTGGGTCACTCAGCCACTAGCTGTGTGACTTTTGACAGCTTAGAAACCATCCTGGGACTCACTTTTCCCCTCTCCAAAACGGTTGACAATGCAACACCCAACCTCACAGGTTCACCGTGACAATGACCTCACTAGACAGCAGTGAATTTTAGTTATTACCTTCCTAATCAAAAGTCAAGCTTTGGAGGGCAGATACCTCCCTTGTGCTTCCACCCCATGCAAAGAAGCCTCACACCTTGGCTGACCCAAGGGACACTCAGATAATACTCATGCATTGAGATGTCAGGAAGCACGCTGAGACCCAAGATCTGAGCATCCTGAAGGAAAGACTCTAGAATCTGCAGAACGGAAGAGGAAGGACCTGAAAACACCTAAGGGGGAAAAAATAAAAGATTCAATAGCCCTTTGCAAACAAAGAACATCCAGAAGGACAGATACGGATTTTAATTTAGTTACAAGTATAGTTTTTGAGTGAAGTGCCTCCTAAGGAGTTAGGGTGGGAGTTACAAAGATGAATCACATCTTGCCCCCTCCTGTTTATATTACTCAGAAGATCTCTGGGGACTTCCTTCACATCAGTTAACCTGGTGCCTTGTTTATCCTATAGAGGCCCAATAAGGATTTGATAAAGGTGTGACTAGGCTCCTGGGGGCCCTAACATCGAGCATGCCCTAGGTTCTTCAAAGCCTACGCACCATCTCCCTGCTCCATTATCACACAGCCCCCGACCCCGAAGCCACCCCTAAGCCTTCAAACCCCTCAGACCTCTTAGGATCACCATCTATACCAAACGCTTTGAGACCAAATTATATTCTGTCTGTACAGACCTTCCTTGATCTTACAGTGTAGTTACAACCCGATAAGCCCCTCCTAAGTTGAAAATACTGTTAAGTCGAAAGCATATTCACTATACCTCACCTACCAAACATCACAGCTTAGCCTCGCCTACGTTAAATGTGCTCGGAACACTTACGTTAGCCTTCAGCAGGGCAAAGTCATCTAACACATGGCCTATTTTATAAAAAAGGGCTGAACATCCCATGTAATTGATTGGATACCTTACTGAAAGTGAGAAACAGAACGGCTCTCGGGGTACAGAGTAGTTTTAAGTGTCTCAGCTGTTTGTCCTGGGGATCACCTGGCTCGCTGCCCTGCCCAGCCCCACAAGAGAGCACCGCATAGCCCCAGAAAAGATCCAAACTCAGAATTCCAAGTACAGCTTCTACGTGGATGGGTATCACTTTCACACCATCACAAAGTTTAAAACTCTTAAATTGGGAACCATCCTACGTCAGGGAGCGTCCATCCGTACTGTGCACTGTTTTATTTGCTCAGCACACGGGAAAAGCACCACAAAAATTAATGAATTAAAGTTCCCTGAAGGCAAGGACCATTCTTTCTCTACATGCCAGGCCTGTTTTATATGTTAATAAATTCTTGCAGCTGAGTTGTGCAGTTGCCATTGACTAAGAGCATGTGGACAGCGCCCGGGAGAAGGGAGACACTTAGCATCAGTCAGTGGGCATCGATCAGCAGGGGCATTGGCCCCGTGTCCCAGGGCGTGAGTCCCAGGGCGGACCTATGTACCCACACACAAGGGCTAAACAGCCCGAGTGCCTGTTTAAAAGGTGAGCCCTCCGGCCTATTCCCCAGCTCAGAACCCCGGTCTGTCCCTGCCCCATCTGCTGCACCACGCACACGGCCGGGAGAGCAGAGCACGCGTTCTCCTGTGAGCGATGCTGAAATCTGAGCCAGCTATGTGTGAAAAGCCCCAAAGTGGGGAAAACGGTTGCTTGCCAAGGGATGCTTTTCAGACCACACTTTTAAAAAGTTTAGAAGAGATGGGTTCCCAACCCATCGCCTTCTCCTTCTTTGGATCGGGGTGATAGGTAAGGATAGCCTTCATGTTTTTCCCAAATTAAGTAGCGTAAACCTGTTTAATTAACCGGACAGACTAAACCAACAGCTCCCCGGTTTGCATATTTAAGGAAGAAATGCGAGACAGTTTGAATTTCCTGGAGGTTGGCACTGATTATTTTTCGGGGCAACAGTAAGATTTATAGCTCCAAAACCAAATTCAAGCAATTTCAGAAATTGCATGCCCCTCAGGGCCGGGTTTGGTCTCAGATGACTTTTCCGCTTGCGCTCTGGTCTAGGCAGGGAAACGGCACATGAAAAGCAAGAGGCCAAGGGCTTGTTAAGGCTGAAAGTTCCTCCCACCCGGAAATTCTCTTCCGAGCTGTAAGTAGCCGAAAACCCAACCTACATTCTTAAATTCCACTGAAAAAAAATATCTCACCCTGGTTGCAATGAATTCGATACTTCTGTGCTCTGTGCAATATGTGTGATATATAATCCATATCAAAATTTCTTAATCCTAAATGTAATATGCATCCTGCAAAGACAGTAATTCTTTGCTAATCTTTGGGAGTTTACTGCATTTGCTGTCTGGGAGTCCTTGTTTCTAACAAATCCACTTCTAGCTTTAAGAATCACTCATGGACATTGTTTGTCTACCCTGTAATGTTATCAATGGAGACGGGTTATTTATTTGATGAAGAACAGGATTGTCCTGCGAGACCGCTTTCTCTGATTCTTTCACAACTGCCATAACTGAGTCATTATTCAGGAAACGAAAGTCCCATTTAAACTGAATTTTAGATTTTGTTCCTCTGCTTTCTGCATGGTGAATTGGAAGTTCGTGAGTTTTGTGACCCGATTGTGAGGGTGCAGATGAGTTCTGGGGAGGGTGGAGAGATCCGAAATCCATGGGATTGTCATACAGAGAGAATAATTGTATAAAATTTTAATTATCTATCTTGAAGTAATAATAAATGTTTGATGAGATAATAATGAGACATGCAGGGAACTGTTAATGAATGTGTGGAACATAAAGCGTTCAAATGAAGGAAGAAAAAGAATTGCTCAGGAATCCGCTACCACTATTCATACGCGGGCGACAGCATTCTGTCTGGAAGTCAAGCGGAGGATGCTTCGTGGGTCAGACTGTAGCCAGGATAATATTGTGTTTGTTTATGATGGAGACAAAGATCTTGGCTTATTTTTCCCCTGGCAATACTGCTACCAAAAAACTCCCGAATTTCAGCTGAGATCTGGAGCCCCGTCCTGAAATTCCGTTTGGGGTTTTTCTTGTCGAATCACCCCCCCACCCCCCTGCCCGGGCTGGTTCCCTATGTCCTTGTTGCTCCCGTCCAGGGAGGGCAGGTAGGAGCACAAGGACAACATTAGGAGCCTCTGGTCACTGACTCGTCTCAGCGGTCATGGTGCTGGGATTGTTCCTAACTTAATTCAACAAAAATCAGAGGTTGTTTTCTCTTTCGGTAGGGTTGTTTATTTGGAAAAGCACCGTATAATTAAAACCAGTTTATGAGTTGTTGCAGGCACAGAAGTGATGAGTCAGGCCTCAAGATTCATTGTTGGGGGTGGGGGTGGGGGTTCTACTCAAGCGAGAAATAGAAAGTCTTGGCCAGATGGGACATTTGCAAATAGTTTTTATTTCTCTGTATGCTCATCGAGGCCATACGCCAGGACTCCAGGAAGATATGTGAGAGGAAAAGCAGAACCAAAGAGAAGGAGAATGTGAGAGGAGAGCCTTAGACCCACCTCAGGACCAAGGACCTCAGCATCCACCCTGAATCCAGATCTGAGCAACACTGAATGTCTTGCACTTGGCAGGAAAACATAATGGAGGCAGATGAACCCTCAGAACTGGCTCCAGGCAGATTATGCATTTGACCCTTGCTGAAACCTTAAAAGGACAGAAAGGGACTTTTCCTCTGGTAACAGGGGAGTAGCAACATTTTAAGTCTTGGAGTAGTAAGAGGTAACTTTCAAGAGGTACTCACCATGTTCTAAGGGCCCTATTAAGCACGTCAGAGGTATCAGCTCATGAGATCCTCAAAATCCCAAGAAATAGAGATTCCTACCCCCATTTTGCAGATTAAGAAATTCAAGTGTGAAGAGTTTAAGCATTTGCCCCAGATCTCAATGCCAGGAAGTGGTACAGCCAGGATCAAAACTTAGTCTCTCTTAAGTTGTCTGTGGGTTCTCTTTGCATTGGGCGACACTGGCGCACCAGGCCCTTCCCTGCAACATCCGGGTGATGCATTCGACGTGTCAACACTGAACGCACACTCCCCACCTACTGTGTCCTCAACCCTTCCAGACTCCCATGTACACATGCAGCAGAGGTTGGGGCAGACAGCCACCTGGACTGTCAGAGGCTTCCAGGAACCTCAGGGAACACCTGGTACAACCCCCTCACCTTACAGACCAGGATATGGAGGACTGGGGGGGGGGGCAGGTATAGAAATGATCTGTTTGTTCAGTGGCCGGTTTTCAGAACAGACTCATTCATACACATTCTGGCCGACTTCATAAGCCAACGCTCCCCAAAGCACAGTGCGTTGGAAGTGTTCTGCCCCTTGGAGTATCCAGGTGGGGACTTTGAGGAGGGGCAGGGGGCAGGGAGGAAGGAAGAGAGTAAGAGCGACTGAGTGAAAAAGAGAAAGAATAAAAAGAAAAGAAAGAAGAAGGAAGGGAGGGAGGGAGGGAGGAAGAAAGAGAAAGTTGGAAGGAAGGAAGGGGAGGAAGGGAGGGAGGGAGGGAGGAAGGAAGGCAGGAAGGAAGGAAGAAAGAAAGAAGAAAAGAGAAAGCTGGGCCTGGATTCAAACAAAACATATTCTGTCAGGATTGAATTCTTTTTGTTTGCATGTGTCACGCACTCAGCATTTGGGAGGATGCACCGGCGTTCTCATGAAACTAAGTCAGAGGCAAAACACACCATTACAACTTAATACATCCAGTATGTAATTTGTACTTAACAGAGAGGTATCTGGGACCGTTGGCCTCCTCCCCACCCCACCCTTCAGACTTCCAGCCACACGCACAGTGGGAAGTAGGCCTCAATGCGACCTTTGTTTCCAAGCTTCTGATACCAGCGTCAGTTGGCAGGGCTGCAAAACTGCATCGTGTCCTCTGAGGTCCTCCGGGAGGGGAGGGGGGCCTGGACCCCGGTTCTTCCAAAGGGAGACCGGGCCCAGGAAATGCGTCCCTGACTCTGGAATGAGCCTCCGAGGCCGAGAGCCCAGAAAGAGATGGGAAACAGAGTATCCCAGCTCTTGTTTCAGCGAGAGTTAACCAAATCAACTTCCAGTCCCGGTCTCCTCCGTAAAATCAAGGCTAGCCTGGTGGAAGCCAGCTCTGAAGGTGGCCAGAGAGGCTGGTTCCCTTCCAAGGCCTGCTCAGTGCTGCCCAAAATGAATCTGTGTGTCCATGTTGCTCTTCACCAGGCTAGACACGCCGGGCCTTGCACAGACCAACTCCCCACCCCACGATCTGCAGAGCAAGCTGGGTGGTGGTAAGGACATAATTTAAAACTGTTGCCTAGTGTTCTCCTAAGCCATGCCCTACTTTGAAAAAAAAAAAAACAAAAACCCTTCATCCTTCAGACAACAGCTGGAAGGCTTGGCTGAATGGTGCGGCCTCAGTGCGGAGGGTCACAGGGTCCTGATCTAAGGGCTGAGAAGTCTTGCTCACCCAACTGTTGACACTCAGTAAACGGGACAGGCGGGGCTCGTGTGGGCATCTGAGGAAGAAGGCCCCCACCCCACCCCCAGCCAGAGAAAGAATAGGAAGCAACTTCTATTCAGGGTTCACAGGGGTCCCCAGCCCCCCTCCGCCCCCTGCCAAAGCCACTGGGCCCTTTCCCTGCCTCCAAGTTACCTTGTATTATAACAGGATTAAAGTATATTTAGCTCCTCTATTAGCATACTTTAGCCCCATTTTAGCCTACTTAAGGCTTCCGGCTGGCTTTGATCAGTTTTGCGTTCTACTGACCAACAGGAGGGCCCCGGCAGGCAAAAAAAAAAAAAAAACCCAAGTGGGGGTGGGGAGTCAGACTGTGAAATTATCCTGATGCTCCTTCTCTTATTCTCAGTCTTCCATTGCTTTTCTTAAAAGGCCCAGTTTACACCCAGAGTGCGCAGGAGAGGGGAAGGGAGCAAGAACCAATAATAATTAGGTCTTAGTGGGAAGAGGAGAGAAAGGGTTTGAGCATCTCCTAAGAAAAGGAGGGGGGAAACCCTATAATTTCTACAGTGTCTGCCTTTTTATTGCTTGCATTTGCATATAAATTAAATCCATATTGTAGCTTTAAGGCAAGCCCAGGCTTAGAATTCCACCCAGCTCTGGGTCCCATTGTCTTATATCCCCGTTCTAGGCGGGCGGCAGTGAAATGAAAAGGGAGGGAGCTCCGAGGAAGGAGAAAGTCAGCTTTGTCGCGTTTTTAATTTGCCTGTTTGTTTTCTCCGCCAATTACAGGCAAATTAATATTTAAACTTTGGGAGGCTGCGAGGAAGTGCTTACAAAATAGGTTTCCGACTCCAGGGTGTGCGGCCTTCTGCTTTCGGCCATCCTGGGGTTGAAATTTCCTGGTGGTGAAATGAAAAATAATAATCGTAATTAAGTAACAGCTTGGACCTAGATCCTGTTTCGATTGCTTCTCTCATTGTGCCAAGGGCGCTGAGATTCATGGCGCTTCTGGAATGATCGCAGGTGGCCAGGGAGGGCTTTGGCTGGATGTCCCCTGTCCTAGGATTTCCTGTGGACCAGAGGTGGGGCCCAGCGCAGCTCCCCTCCGTGAAAAGTGGCCTCCGATTCCACTCTCATTCAGAAGAATGTAGCCAGGGAGTGATCAGATGCTGGGGTAAGCCTGTTTCGGAACCCCACATGCTATCCTAGCAAACACATCAGGGTGGAAGTGATCTCTTAAGGCAGATCTGTGTGAAACACGGGGGAAAGAGTCCTCATGCTTCTGTCTCAAAAACATTCCATTCGGAAGCAGTGAAGAGCAGCAGGTTCCCCCCACCTTGCGCTTCAGCCTGGCCCAGCCATAGGATGGGAACACTCTTCCGGAAACTCCTGAATCAAAAAGCAATCAATTACACAAAGTTCTCATAAAATGTCGGAGAGACAGGAGGCCCTGGTGGGGCCCAGGTATCCTTTCCGTAGCATGTGTTCTTTGGCTTATTTTAGAAGTTAATATATGTACCGTGCATTGAGCCCTCTTCCCTCCCTCCCCTCACCTCCAGATTACTGGGGCTCCTCATTACTGGTGCTGCTGGGATGTGTCATCTAATGTGGGAGGAGGCACCTAGTGAATTATTGTTGCTAATTAATCCCTCTAACAAATCTCCCTTCTGACATGACTTCAATAATCGGTTCCACTGTGTCCTTGTACCTCTTCGGAGTTCTTCGCTACGCTAAGCCCCCTCAAAGTCAGTTTCTCGAGCCTGTGCAATAGCCTACACCCTTCCAGTTGTTCTGTCTAGACGTTTTCTGCCTCCACTAGCCTTCCTTCACCCCACACGCCCAAATAATGTTTCTTTCCGGGAAAGAAAGCCAAAAACACTGCAGCTTCCCAAACACGGCCTCCCCGTTCCTTGTACTCAGAACCTCAGAAAAAAATCCAGCTTCCCCCCATGATGCAGACCCTGCCTCTACCCTCCACCAAGGTCTTGTGAATTTCATTTCCATTTCCTTCAAAGACCACTCCACATGCTCAGTGTTTCTCCCTGAACAACAGGGCTCGGCGTGGCGTTTTTTATTTCTTTGATATAAGCCCCTTCGTGACTCCTCCCTGACCTGGTCCCACATGGGCACTGCCAGATGGGATGCAGTTTCATGGTGAGTCTAATTGGGTGTGTTTTGCCCATTTGCTTGATCTGTATCTCTGGAAAATGTAAGCTGCCCGCACCGGAGATGCCAATTCCAGCATCTCCCACTGTGTATCCAAAAAAAAGAAGAAGTTCAACCTGATAACTAAACTTTTTTAAAAAAATTAATTTATTTGAGAGGGACAGCGAGTGAGAGCTAGCGGAGGGGCAGAGGGAGAGGGAGAAGCAGAGAAGCAGACTCCTTGCTGAGGGCAGAGCCTGTGTCTGGGGGTCTGGGGGCTCAATGATCCCTACCCATGAGATCTTGACCTGAGCCGAAATCAAGAGTCAGATGTCTAACTGACTGAGCCACCCAGGCGCCCCTGATCACTAAATTTTAAGACCAGTCATTGACTGACTAGATTTATCCAGTTGTTCCAAACCAATACTAATAATAAGAATAACAGCTAATATTCTTGACTGTTGATTCCAAGTCAGGCTCGGTGCTACGTGCTTTATGGAACAAGTTATTTCTCACTTTTTATGCTCACAACAACTCTAGATGACCTAGGTACTATTATTATCCCAATTTTACAGGTTATGTAACACAGAGAGGTTAAGTCATTTATCTTAAATTTCACAGCTTATAATTTGCACAACCAGGATTTAAACCTAGGCCACCTGCCTAGGGCCCGTTAATTAATGTAGCCATCTACCATGGTCCAAGAGTGTCACCTGCACCAGGCCACAGGGGCGTCTGGGAGGCGCTGAGACTCTGGGTACTGCATCCTCACTCACATCAGACCTAATGACAGCCCTTTGGAATGGATAAGATCATCCCCATTCTGCTGATGAGAAGCAGAGACTCAGAAAGCTTAAGGATCATGCTCCTAACTATTATTAAAAGATAAACTGAGGCATATTAAAATGTTTAACAGATGATTTGAGTGAAAACGGATTCACATTGGGCAGCACCAAACCAGAAGTTGGTTAGGAGTGTTCTGCCTCCAGGAGCTCAGGGAAAGATTGATAAAGAGAAAATGCCAGGGGCGCCTGGGTGGCTCGGTTGGTTGAGCGACTGCCTTCGGCTCAGGTCATGACCCCGGAGTCCCGGGATCGAGTCCCGCATCGGGCTCCCTGCTCGGCGGGGAGTCTGCTTCTCCCTCTGACCCTCCCCCCTCTCATGTGCTCTCTCTCTCTCAAATAAAGAATAAATAAAATCTTTAAAAAAAAAAAAATTTTTAAAAAGAGAAAATGCCAGAGCAAAGGAAGGAAACTCTTTGATTGGTTATAGCTGAACACCTAGCTGGCTGTCTCTGATTGGTTGTCCTTCGCGTTTTGATTTCATAACCTTGAGGTATTTACAGGCTTAGATTTACGTTTCCTTGTGTAGGCCGCAGGGACATTACAGTCCCCTTGTATAATTAATTTAACACTATAATCCTCATATTTGTAGAGTCCACACCCAAAGCCAGGTCAGCGTGACTCCAAATGCCGTGTTCTTTCTGCTGTACCACCTGTTCCCAGTGCAGATCTCACCTCAGAGAATACAGCAGGGCCAGATGATACCCACTGAGTTCGAAAGCCCGCTGACTTCGTCACCGGCCTTGTGCTCAGCACTACTCAGGCAGGCCCCAGGCTCTGCAAAAGGCTACCCAACCATCCCTAACCTCGCAGACCTTACCCTCCTGGAGGGGGAGGAGAAAAAGAGAGACACTTGGAAACGGGCCTGCCATTTGGTCCAACTAGCCATTTGTTTTCAAGATCACTGGCATTTCAAATGCTCCATTTTGATTCCAGCGTACTGTGGGGGGGGGGGGGGGGTGCGGGTGTCCCCAGACCTTCTGAGCCAGCCTAGCTCCTCCGCACCCCAGACATTCTCTGGCCTGCGCCTCACCAAGGTTACAGTCAGCCAGGTGGAATTGTCATGACAGGTGAGATTGGCCCCGAGACCCTCGTCTTTAAATCTTCTGTAGCTGAATTAAATGTTTGTCATTTTTTTAAAACTAGGAATAGACACACATGATACAAAATTCAAAAGAAACAAAAGAGCATACAGTGAAAAGTTTCCCTCCACCCCATCCCAGACGTGTGCTCAGCCAAGACTTGTGCTGAGAGACGTCCACTTTTCCTTCCCAGAGGCCACCACTGCTGTTTTGTGTATATCCTCCCAAAGAGAACCTATGCACATACAAGCAATTTCAAATATGTGTGTATATATATAATATATATAATAATATAATATATATTATTATTCATGCAAATGGTTGCATGTATTCTGCAATTACTTTTGTCATATAAAAAAATATGCATTTAGGGGCACCTGGGTGGCTCAGTCATTAAGCATCTGCCTTTGGCTCAGGTCATGATCCCGGGGTTCTAGAATCTAGCCCCATGTCGGGCTCCCTGCTCCGTGGGAAGCCTGCTTCTCCCTCTCCCACTCACCCTGCTTGTGTTCCCTCTCTCGCTGTGTCTCTCTCTGTCAAATAAATAAATAAAATCTTTAAAAATATATATGCATTTGGGATTATTCTATATCCATCCAGAGCACTGGTTCATTCTTTTTAATGGCTGTGTAATATTTTATTATCTGGATATACCATAATTTATCTAAGAAGTCCTCTATGGAAGTAGGCTCTTAATTATTTGACTCTAACTCCTTTGTTGTTGCCAGTGTTTTACTGATAGACTTTGTATCGGCTCACTTCGCAAGTGTGCTAATGTATTTATAGGAGAGATTCCTGGAGGTGAAAAGGAACATGCATTTTTCATTTTGATAGTTATTATCAAATTACTCTTCATAGAGATTTTATCAATTTATACTTCCAACAACATTGTATAAAAGTGTCTGTTTCCCCACAGCCTAGGCCAGCACTAGGTGACGCGGACTTTTTGATCTTTGCCAACTGGATAGTTAAAAAGCAGTCTCTCAAATTTTAAATGTGTATTTCTGCTATTATACGTGAAGTTGAGCAACTCTGCAAATATTTTAAGAGCAATTTGAACCTCCCCTACTGTAAATGATGTCTATTCCCAGATAAATTTTCTGTTGAGTTGTTGGTTCTTTTCTTATTAATTTATAATGGCTCCTTATATATTAAAGAAATTCATTCTTTCCCGGTATGATGAATTACAAATATTCTCCCCCAGTTTTTCATTTCATTTTGCTTATGGCATTAGTTTTGTTGGTTTTTTTTTTTTCCTAAGTGGCCTTTTTTTATAGCCTGGATTCTCATTTCAACCCTGCCCCAAACTGTGGGTTACTTAATAAGCACAGTGGTGTTTGGGGATGCTGATCCTATTCAAAAGGATCAGAGGTGTTTAAAATGCCCACTGAAATTCCAACGGCCAGTTGTTCAGCAGCTCCAGATCGCTTTCCTGGCCTGTGGGATGAAGGGGTTAGACTAGATGCTGTATAAGCTCCTGGTCAGCTCTGGCATCTGAATCAGAGAAGCAGATGTCCCTGGGCCAAGGGTCTTGCTGTCCACTCTCCTAGCGGGCACTGCTTCTGGATGCAGACGCAAGAGGCTTCCCCTTGGCATGAGGGTCTTGACTGCCCTGAGCCACAGATTCTTGTCCCTCACCTTTTGGTCGAACCTCTACTGCCACCTCCACAGGGCAACCGGGCAGGTGTACAAAATCAGACCCAACACTCTGGCCTTCAGAGCACAAAGCAGACGGGAGTCTGGGTTACCGCAAGCAGCCCTGAACTTCAGCTTCCTGCCAAAGCCTCTGAAACATCGCCTTCCACATGGATAGTCCCCGAAGCCCCCTGGCTCTGCCTTTGGAGTCACTATTTAGGCCCACGCTGCGAGAGCTGTAATTGTGCAGGAAAACACACGTGTTTGTGTTCCATTACCTGGATAATACAAGCACCCCAGACTTGGGGGCGTTGGGCCAGGTAATAGGCTCCAGAAGACCCAGACGGTGGCAGCTGTGCTGGCCTTTGGTACCGCCATCATGGTTTTCTGGAAAAATGCTGATTTCCTTCAGCTGGTCTGCGTCCTCCCCTGGGAAATTTGTATTTCTTCCTGGCATCCATCCTACATCATATCTGGCTACCACAGAGACAAAGAACTCCTTGCCTGGCATTGAGAATGGCTTGTTTTAGTCAAAGAATTCCTCTCCGGCCTCTCAAAGAAGGTCCTGGTCTGGGTCTAACAAGTCCCTTTCTCCCTCCTGCACCAACCCACAGCCTCGACTGACATTTTCTGAGGTTAAAAACGTGCCTCCCGAACAAAACAGCAAACCCTCCCCCTCTGGCCT